GAGAGTATTCTCCTTTATCGGACACGATTGGACAAAATAATTGAATATGACCTTGATAACTCTGATTCACACTCCAACATTAAACTGAAGAAGAAGGAGAAGCAGGTCCAGTGGATGGAGGAGAGAGGAGGAAGTGCTCAACACGTGGGGTAATGAGAGACACATCAGTCATTTTCTGTCAAACTTTAATTCTTTTCATCACTTTTTCAATAATATTTTTTATAATTACACAATAATTACTTCCTGCAGATTTTCAAACCTGAACAGTTTCTTACTTAATTTAATTTCCATCAGGTTTTTAGTATAAACAAAGAAGCAAATATCGACAAGTGCAGGATACAGAGACAGGGAGTGGACAAATCTTAGACATTTTGTGTGTTTGTGTCTCTTCATCCATCATGTCACTAAACTATGGATTTTCTACTGAGACGCAGACAGAAAACATTAGTCAACATTAGAAAACACATTAGACAGATGGACGAGTATCTGTGGGAATCCTGACAGCAGCAGCTGATGTTGTTTGGCTTTCATGGTGCTCTCTGTTAGTGTGCCATTGAGCAACACGCAGTGTGCAGAGGTTGAGTTCCAGTGTAGCTGCAACTTCCAGTTCTGTGAAAGTGATGAGTCATTGTTTAAATTAAATTGAGTTGGTCTAAATCACAGGACGCCATGTTCTGTTTCCACTAAACTTACAGCTTCAGTCTGCGGGTGCCTGGCCTCTAGCGGACCGGAGCGTGCAGTGCAGCTCCCAGACCCAGGTACTCTAGGTTCTCGGCGGCCGGGAGGAACGCACCATCAGCGGTGAAAGAAGAGGGGTCATCCTGCGGCAGGAAGTTGGCCTGGTAGTCTGGGTTGTCAAGGCTGTTCCAAGCAGCCAGGGGGAGCGTGTTTTGGGTGGTGTTCAGGTATTCTGGTCCCTCTGGAACTCGGCTGCAGATCTTATTATCCTCCTGCAGAACAGGAAGTGAGGAGGCGCCCCAGCCCAAACTCAGATCCTCATAGTTTGGATTTACTGCCTCAGACAATCGGCTGCAGCCGGTTCCACTCACGCTCTGATTCATGTACTCTAGAGAAAGACCACACACTCATTCATTGGATCAGACAAAATCATTGATGGTTTATTCATGTTGCTATTTCCTGCTCATTAAAGTGTTAAAGAAATAAACATTTTCACTCAGCAACATTTATTTACATTCATTTTGTGTCATAATTTGAAGATGTTTTTCTTTTTTTCATGTGAAGTTGTTGTTTTTATGTTTCAATTGTGTTCGTACCGTGAACAGTGAAGTCCTCTTTATCCAGCGAGTTGAGCGTCGGATCAGTGATGTAACGAAAAGCGGTGCTGTTCTCTCTGATTGGTCGACCGTTCTGACATGAACATAAACAGTGAAAATGTGTTTGTGTGTGTGTACAAATGCAGGGATATACTGCATATATGTGCGTGTGTGTATTTACCATGGCGTTGCAGTGCTGGTTATCATGGTTACCCAGTCCTTTATAAGGCAGCAAGTATTCGTCAGCATCCACCACGTCGTCAGTGTCGTCAGAGCTCAACAGACGAGAGTAAAACCTGCTGTCTGAAGGACTGGGCAGGTCGCCCTGGCAACCAGTCACAGCAGGTTAGTTAGTTTAGTTTTAGTTTAATTTTGTGAGTTAGTGAGTTAGCAGGATGAGTTTTGAACATTGTGAGATGAAAGGTTAGTTTTAATATTTATAATTTTCATTATGAATTATTCTGAGATTTTTAGCAAATGTAATTAAAATGAAAATAATCAGACTGATATTTATGAGTGTGTGATTTGATCCATACAGAAGCTCTAAACGGACATGGGATCATACATTTTATTTCCTGTTTTCCAGAAAACAAGATAATTAGGTCGTTATCTCGAGATAATGGGAGAAATACCTTGTTAGCACAAGATAAGTCTATATAAAGCCTATCATGACAAGAACTGTTGCATTCAAAGTATATTTTTCTCTAATCAAAGCCTGACACAGGCCGAGATTGCTTTATGCCTTTTAGATATAACCTATATATGAGTTTGTGTTATCTGAGAAGACACTTAGCAAGGTTTCGGTTTTATCGGCGGGGCAATCAAACTGACTGTTAAATCATGATCTCAAATGAATTATCCCATTATCAAGAGATAACAAAGATTCGTTAACTCGAGATCCCAACTTAAGTTATCACAGGAAAGCAGAGGAAATATAATGTATGACTCCGTAGATCCCAATACAAATCTGGCAAATTTAGGAATGCTGGTTGAGATATAGTTATTGATAGAAATGAAATATGAACTATAAAGCTAAATATCTTCAATTGCTATAAACCAGAATGTTCTATAACGAAAGTCCTAATACACACACACACACACACACACACACACACACACGTGTTCACCTGTATCACCAGGTATCTGGACGGATCGCTGGCCATTTTAGAAAACTCCACCGTCAGTTCTCTGAACCTGGGACGACACGACGGCTCGATCATCCAACCTGGCAACAGCGAGCAAACGTGAATCTTCTCTATCAACTTAAATCCTCTGACTTTAAGTCTAGCGTCACCTTCAGCTCAAATATTTTTCTCTCACATTTGACCATGATCATGTAGATGTCAATGGTGCAGATGGGAGGCTGAGGCAGCCGATCTCCTCCCTCCAGCACTGAGGCGATCTCGCTCGCCGGGATTCCATCGTACGGTTTGGAGCCAAAGGTCATCAGCTCCCACACAGTCACACCTGCAGACAACAGAACACCCACTGTTAGATCTGACAGAAGATTGGTCTGTACAGTTCCGTCTTCAGAACAGAATTTCATTGTGGCTAATTTGTCTGATCAGCGCTGCTGTTTAAATGTCTAGACACAGGTTTTCATTAACGTGACTCCAGCTGCCGAACCACAGGTTGACTTACCGTAGCTCCACACGTCACTCTGGTGTGTGTACGTCCACTGGACGATCGACTCCAATGCCATCCACTTAATGGGAACCTACAGGGGGTGTCGAGGGACAATCATGAGGTGTGTTACAGGGTGGGGATAAAGGTCACAGCTCACAGTGTGACAAACAGGAAGCATGAAGAGGTGAAGACCAGACACACACACAAACCTTTCCTCCGTCAGCGTGGTACTCCTTCTCATCAGCCGTTAGTAACTTGGCCAGGCCGAAGTCAGTGATTTTGACGTGGTTAGGAGTTTTCACCAGGACGTTCCTCGCCGCCAGGTCTCGATGCACCAGGTGACGATCCTCCAGGTAGCTCATCCCCTTTATACACACACCGGTCAGTCCTCTATATTATTAATTATCCACACTCACATTAGATCACTGTGACCAAATCTACTGAGTTCTTTTTTTAGGTCTAAGTGAACATTATACCAAATTTGAATAAATTCCCTCAAGAGGTTCTTTATCTATCGTGACTGAAAAAGATTCAATCATCACATTTGATTTGTTTCATATTCAGTTTGTCTCATAGATGAAAAAAAGGAGCAACATCCTCTGTTCTTAACTCAACACGAGTCAAACGACCAAAATACTTCATCAGCAGTAAATAAAGCTCAGAGTCACATGTGAGGATCCATCTCCCAGGACACAAGTACAATAGATGCTGATGGAACTGAACACATCAACACAATAATGGTACAGAATAAAAAAACGGTCTTCCTGAAAACATGTTGATTTAATAAGCTAAATATGGAGAAACTACGCCCCCCCCAGGCTAAAGTCAACAGTGTGGGAAAACTTCAGTTACCCCCCTTGACCTTGGAGTGTGAGATTTTCCCAGCATTTAAACAAATGAGACTTAAAACAGAGATTCAACAGATTAACAAAGTCTCAACACACACACACACACACTCACTAATAGGCCTCAGAAGGCTGACAGAGCTGATGCCTCTGATCTGTGAGATTACGTGCTCTTACCTTGGCGATCTGGACGCACCAGTTCAGGAGCCACTTGGCGCTGACGTGGCCCCTGTGGTGTCGGACGTAGTCCAGCAAGCAGCCGTATGGCATCAGCTGCGTCACCAGCTGGACCGACGAAGTCAGACAGATTCCCAGCAAACGACACACATGAGGGTGATCCACACTCGCCATGACATATGCCTCCTACACACACACACACACACACACACACACATGTTTCGATTAGATTAGATTAGATTCAATTTTATTGTCATTGCACATGTCACAAGTACAAAGCAACGAAATTGGAAACATGTCCATGATTAGTGAAGGATGTCCTGAGAGTGACTACTGGAGAAGAGAGCTCAGACATGTAGAGATTTCTAAAAAAATCTTTTCAGAATTCTGTACAAGCTTCATGTTCGTCCATGTTTCATCTGATCTGTTAGTTTCAGTTTGTAATTTAGAGACTGAAGAGTTTTTTCTCACACACGTACGTCCTGTCATCATCACCTACGTGGGCGGAGTCTACCTATACTTGACTCTGATTGGTTTGTAGACGGACTCTGACGTGGGCGTGTTGTCAGTTGGAGGGGGAGTAGTCTTTATGTTTTAATGGAGAAAATGAATGAAGCTTCATCTGGTTGTCATGGTAACATCATGATGGTATTTCTAGCAACATCAGCACCTTCAGGTGCAGTACTACAGTACTCCACAGTACTACAGTACTCCACACCAGTTCAGATGCAGTAAATGAACGTCCTCGTGGTACAAGAATTTTATCGTAGGAGGTGAAGACTGCAGCTGCTTCCTCTTCTTCTTCTTCTATGGTTTAATGTGTCTCTACTTCCTGTGATTGGTCCAAACTGTCCAACAAAGTGTTTTCACTGTGAACCAACAGAACCAGGTTCAGTTTGATCAAGACCCAGAACTCCTCTTCTGGTCTGAGGAACCGTTCACACCTGAAGTTCAGCTTCAGAGGAGTCTGAGCTTTATAACCTGGAATTATTTCATTTGTTCACTGAGATGAATAATTGGTCTCTTTGAATCTCTTCGTCAAGAGGTGAAGCAGAAGTACTGATCTCGAACTGAAACTGTTTGATATCTATATGTATATCTGAAAATGTGATTTGGTGGATCTCCAGGGGAAAAAAATACTAAAAGGCAAAAATAGTACAGCAGTTTTTTTGAAGACAGATTTGGTGTCAGAGCGTGGTTCAACGGGAGGGAGAAGAAGAAAGAGACAAACAGAAACAACGATCAGAAGAAGTGAAGTGGAGGAGGAGGAGTCTCACGTCCAGGATTTCTTGGTTGGCTTTAGGTGATGTTGCTTCTCTCAGAACTTTGATGGCGACTGGGATCTTCACGTTCTCTCCCTCAGGAATCCACAGACCCTAAAACACAGGATTTTCAGTGCAGCAGACATATCGCCACGTGACAGTGTGTGAGTGTGTGTGTCACATGTCGTCACCTTGAAGACAGTGCCAAAAGCCCCGGAGCCGAGGACCCGAACCTTTTTAAACTCTGTCTCCTTCAGGATTCTCAGCAGTGCCTGATTCGGAGCTTCACCGCTCGGAGTCAACGGCTCCACCAGCTGGACAGGAGGGAGGGATGAAAGAATAAACGAATAGATGCATGAACAAATGATTACAAGTTTACATCAAAAAACTAAATCTAATTCATAAAAAATAGAAATAAAAACAAAATAGAGACGTAGATAAACAACCAGAGAAAGAAAATTGATGTTAGCCTCTCACCTCTCTCTCCTGCAGGAGGCGCCGAAGAGTCCTCTTCCTCCTGATTCGTTGTCGCCGTAGCAACACAAAGATGACCAATGGAACAATGACAGCTACCAAGAGTCCGCTGACCACGCCCACCGCCAACATGGAGTGACCAGCAGCACTGTGAGGACATACACAGTGTTGACTGTAGATGTGTTTAACTCTATAAACCCCTTATATCCTCAGATTTGTTAGAGTGAACTTGGTCCCATTGATTCAGATTTACTTCTTCCATGGAAACCAAAACATAATGTCACATTCAGGTCGAATTCGAATTCAAATTTGAATTGAAAACTTTCATCGATCCATAATGATGTCGTCAGTGATGTGGTTCATCCTCTGCTTGTGTCTGTTAACGTTAATAAACTCGGTCTCACCCTGTACATCCTGACAGACCCGGACCTGAACACCTGCGGACACAGACACACAAACATCAGTCATTCTCTTCAGGTGTCGTCAGTCAGAGCTGCAAATGAGCCTCTCACCCCTCAGTGCAGTTCTGGTGACAGGCCTGACACTGGCTTGTGTCATCGGCATATTTCCACACCAGCGTGTCTCCGTCCCCTGGGACACCATGGGGGCAGCGCGGCACGCAATGAGGGCCATCCTGGGCATGGGTGCACTGGGAACACTGGTCGTTACCCTGCCAGTGGAACAATTTCCATACAACTTGAGACATTTTTCATCTTTTAAATTGTAATTATTAATAAGTCTGATTTGTCTACAAATCTGTCTTTTGGTATTTCCTTTTACTCAGTTTTTCTTTATCTATGTA